TGAGGTCGGCAAATTCTACTACATCGGCATTCTCGACAGAACACCGGTATCTGCGTTTAGTATCGGGGCATTTTCACGAGTATAAGTACTCGTGAAAATGGGCAGTATTGGCACTGGTGTATCCCTACTTAAAAATATAATGCATTGCTGGGACTTGTAGTTCTACATAGTTGGTGCTATTCTGCATTGCTGTATAATATTATACAGCAATGCAGAATAGCACCAGCTATGTAGAACTACAAGTCCCAGCAGTACATTATAATGTGAATAATAATAATAACAGCAGCTTCTTGCGTTCCCCCACACCGGCCTTACCTGACTCCTACAGCAGCTCAGCTTCCTCATCTTTGTCGATTAGGGGGCAGGGCTGAGTTGAGAGGGTCCTCTCTCAGCTGAAGAATGTGCTGCCTAGCGGTGCCTGCTGTGTCGGTAGCGGCCCCGCCAGGCAGACAAGTTACAGGCAGAGCCTCTCTATCCCCGCACAGCCGCCCGTGCATGCAGAGCGGCGGGGGATGGAGCGGCACTATCTGGAGGGGGGGACATGAGGAAGCTTTCGTGCCCTCTGTTTCCTCTCTGGCTCCCCCCAACAGGCGGAACGCCACGGCCCGGTCGCAATCGTGACCGCTGCCACCCTGGTAGTTCCGCCAGTGGCTGCGACCCTGGTAGATCTGCCACTGACTCCAAGCTGTAGAGAGACTACAAATCTTAGCAATACATTATACAGCAATGCAGAATACCACCAACTATAGAGGACTACAAATCCCAGTAATACATTACACAGGAATTCAGTATATCACCCGCTATAGAGGACTATAAATCCCAGCAATAAATTATACAGCAATGCAGAATATTACCACTAACTATATAAGACTACAAATCCCAATAATGCATTACAGAGCAATGCAGAATACCACCAGCTATAGAGGACTACAAATCCCAGCAATACATTGTGCAGCACTGCAGAATAATACCATCAGCTATAGTGGACTACAAATCCCAGCAATACTTTATAGAGCAATGCAGAATAATATGAGGCTACATACTCTTGTGTTGCTCCGGGTTCACAGCCTGATGTCTCCAGTGTCCCAGGAGAGCTGTGCGGGGTTTAGGGGGGCTGTGCAGGCTCCCAGGAGGCTGTTCAGGTTCTTAGGTGGCCAGTGTGGCTCTATGAGGGCTAGTGCGGGCTCTCAGGCAGTCAGTGAGGGATCCAGGTGGTCAGTGCAGTCCACGCACTGGACTGCACCTGAGGGTCCAGTCACACCATATCCAGTACGGTTTGAGCCCGGAAAGCACTGGATTGCATAGATCAAGCCGGACGTCATGTCAATGGCACTGATTATATAATTATATTTTCATGTGTTCTAACCTTTAGTGCTGTGTTTTACTTTTCACCCATTTTAAGCTACCAA